TGTTGGACTCAATATCTTCATTAACATCATAATCGAATATGAAAGTGGATAATAAGAAAATAAAATCAAATAAAAACGGTTTTATCTTTGAATGATTGTTTAGTTTGGTGTATTTTGAGTGTATTTTGACAGTTTTAAGTGTATTTTGATTTCTTTTTTAGTGTATTTTGTTTGTTTGTGTGTATTTTTTGATATCTTTTACTCTGTGCGTGAATGTGTTGAACGGATATTTCACCGGACAAGATGATCGGAGTTCAATTCGATCAACCTTAATCCGGTTGATGATTGTCCGATTTATGTGTTTTTGACTTAGTAATTTTGTCTGAGTACTTTGTTGTCCGGACTTCTAATCCGGTCACAACTTTGTTTTTCTTTCCAAGTGTTAGTATATTTTGTACGTTGTCCGGACTTCTAATCCGGTCAATTTGTTTTTTTCAAATTTTTTTTCTAAGTGTTGGTTTGAAATTTTTTTTTTCTCTTTTTATTTTTTTTTATTTTTTAGAGTTTAATTTTTTTGTTGTTGTGTGGGTTATATTGTGATTAATAAATGGTTTCTAATGTTTTTAGAATTATTACAAGTTAATGGCGGATCAACGACATCAATCTGACGAGGAATCTCATGTTCCTTCCGTCAGATCATATAACATCCATATACACCCGCCCAACCAGCCTATTCCATCATAAACCATTTTCCCTCAAATCAAATACCTTGATATAAAACCAAATAACCACGTCTTCTCTTTTGCTATGCCAGCTAAATATCCAATCATTATAGAAATCCTGAAAGGCCATCCAATTTCTTATTCTTTATCTGCGAATACACCAGTTCCAATGGTGTATTTACAACAATTTTGGAGCACTTTGACCTTAGAAAAAGACGGGGATGCTATCTACTTTCAAGGCGAAGTTGATGAATTTGTCAGTCGTCTGACACTGAAGCGTCTTTGAAGAATACTTCGTGTGCCCGGACCAGGATCTACTGGCTTTGAAGATTTTATATCAGACGAACAATTGTGTCTAGATATCAAGCGCCTAAGATACTCGGCTGTTCTGAACAACCCAACTCAGTTCAAACGACGTTTCCTGCCTTCAATCTGGCACTTACTGTTCTCTATTTTGAATAGATGGCTGACGTCAAAAACAGCGGGCATAGACACATGCAGTAGCTCATTTCTGAAATTCTTTCATGGTGTCGTCTTTTCAAGAAATTATGACTTTGCCTTGGTCATATGGAATGAGTTAGTAGAGCTAGTCAATGCCAAAAGATTCCCGTCAAAAGCTCGGAAATTTGTGCCATTCCAGCGATTTCAACAATTATTCATTAAGGC